TAGTAGTAGTAGTAGTAGTAGTAGTAGTAGTAGTAGTAGTAGTATGTCGTACGTTAGTAAGTATTAGTAGTTAGTAGTAGTAGGAGAAGGAGGAAAGACCGGCGGAGGAGGAGAGAAAGAGGAGATAGGAGGAGGAGGAGAGGGGGAAAGGAGGAGGGTGAGGATGATGCGAGGAAGGAGATGAGGATGAGGAGGAGAGAGGAGGAGGAGGAGGAGGAGGAGGAGTACGAGGAGGAGGAGACGAGGAGAGGGGATGGAGGAAGAGGAGGAGGAGGAGGGGGAAGAGGATGAGGGGACGGATGAGGAGGAGGAGGAGGAGGAGGAGGAGGAGGAGGAGGAGGAGGGGGAGGAGGATGAGGGGGAGGAGGAGAAGGAGGAGGAAGAAAAGGGAGGAGGAGGAGGAGGAGGAGTCGGAGTCGGAGTCGGAGGAGGAGTACGAGGAGGAGGGAGGAAGAGGATGATGAGGGGGTTGAGTATTCTGCCGTGCGCCTTCACGCTGTGAGACCGTCCTCCTCAAACAACAACAGGAAGAGGGGGGATGACGGAATGCAGAAGAAATGAAAGAAACAGAGAGAGAGAGAGAGAGAGAGAGACAGAGAGAGAGAGAGAGAGAGAGCGCGAGAGGACGAGGAGGACGACGATGACGGTCACGTTGAGGAAAGCACGGAGAGGTAGGACGCAGCGGTGGCGGAAAAGGGACGGTGGATACGATTGACCAGCAGGGCCTCCACCTCCTTCTTCGCTGCCTTTTCCCGGCTTTCGGCCTCCTTCATCATGTAGTCGGAGCCTCAGGACGCCCCGCCCTAATCCAGGGACTGATCCCGATCCTCGCCCCAGAAAGCAACGACTATGATAACGATGGCGATGATGACGACGACAGCGAGTGTGATGATGATGATGATGATCAAATGGTGACGATATCGTGATCTGATGATGACGACGGCGACAGCGACGGTGATGATGGTCATTGTGATGCTGCTTATGCTGCGTGGCTCGCGGCCGCTGGTGCAACACCGTGCGGGGACGGTCTCCTCCGCGTTGCGCTGGGCGCAGAAACCCCTCGCCTACGACCGACTCATCCGAATTGGCCTTCGACCCCTTCAACCCTGGGGCCGGCGCTTCGCTCAAAATGTTCGTCAGCTGACCGCCCCGCGGGCAGCCCGAGCGTGCGAAAAGGCACCCAAGACCGACCAGATCAGTCCGCGGGAGGTCTCGATCCGTACCGCGCGGGACCCCGAGATTCGTAATTTTTGTCAATGCATCGACTGGTTTTTGCCCGAAATGACCCAAGCAAACGGCATTCAAGACACGAGTTGAACGAGTCCCTAGCTGAACGGGGCCCCAGACTGAACTGGTCTCCAGATGAACTGGGCCCCAGTTGAACTGGGCCCCAGACTGAACTGGTCCAGATCATCTGGGCCACCGCTGAACTGGGCCCCAGCTGAGATTGGCCTCTGGCTGAACTGGGCCCCAGACTGAACTCGACCCCGCGCCCAGCGCCACAGCGGAACCCTCGGGGGCCACGTTCAGCAGGGGGCCCACTTCAACCGGGGTCCAGTTCAGCCAGGGCCCAGTTCAGCCAAGGCCCAAGTCAACGGGGCCCAGTTCAGCGGGCCTAGTTCAATCAAGGCCGAGTTCAACTGGGGCCTAATTCAACCAGGGACTATTTTCACGCGCTGAACTCGTCCCCGCAGGGGCTGGTCTGGGAGCCGAGCCCCACGCCCTGGCCGAGTGGTGCACCCGCCCCGGTCGTTGCTGGCGCACCTGCGCGCCCGCCTTCCACGTCGCTCGCGCGGGCCCCAGACACTCAAACATGAAGACAGAGCTTAAGACCCTCAGACCTAAGGCCCCAAGACCCTGAATCTGTGAGGGTCTGGGACCCGCAGGCCCTGATACCCTAAGGCCTTGACTCCCTTAGGCCCAAAGGCCTAAGGTCCTCGACCCTGAGACCCGGAGACCCTGGGGCCCCAAGATCATAAGGGCCTGGGACATGAAGACCCTAAGACCCTATACTCCTCTGGGCCGAAGGCCCCGCGACCCTAAGACCCTACGACCCTACTCGAATACCCAACACCCTAAGGCCCGAATGCCCTAAGGCTTTAGGACCTGGGACACCACGACCCTGAGGCTCTAAGGCCCTGAGACCCCCCGACCCGAAGACCCTAGGCTCCTCAGACCCTAGAACCGTTCCACACGACCGCCCTAAAACCCAAAGGCCCTGTTACCCCAAGGCCTTGATACAGCAAAACCTCAAGGCCCAGAGGCTCTAATATTTTAAAGACCTAAGAGCCTAAGACCCTAAGACCAGAACGCCCTCAGACCCTAAGGCCTAAACTCCTGAGACCAAAAGGCACTATTACCCTAAGACCTTACGACTCTGAGGTCCCAAAGCCGTAAGACCCCAAGAGCCAACTAGTGCTGGAGCCTGTTTGGGAAGCGACCACCCCTGGTCGAATGGCGTGCCCGCCACGGCCGTTGCCAACGCACCTGCGCGCCCGGCTTCCGTGTCGCTCGCGTGGGCCCAAGACACCCAAACCTGAAGACAGAGCCAAATACCCTCATGCGCTACGGCCCTAAGACCCCAAGGCCTCAAGACCCTGAGACACGCAGGCCTTAATAACCTAAGACCTTGAGACCCTAAAACCCAAAGGCCTAAGGCCCTACGACCCTGAGGCCCCAAGGCTCGAAGACCCTGAGGGCCAAGGACACTGAGACCCTGTGACCGTACGACCTCGCGACCCTGAGACCCTTAGGTCCCGAGACACTAATACCCTGATGCCTCGAGCGCCTAAGAACCTAAGGCTCCAATCATCGAAGGCCGTGAGCTGTGAGCCACTGAGACCCAAAGGCACTGGGACCCGCCCGCCCTAAGACCCCAAGACCCAAGGCCCTAGGACCCAATCGCCCTGAGACCCTCGGACCCTGATGCCTGATGCCCTAATGACCTGCAACAATAAGACCCTAAAGCCCTACGAGACGAATGCCCTAGTGTCCTAAGACCCTCAAGCCCAGACTCTCAGACCCTGAAGCCCTAGGACCCTAAGACCCTAAAACCCTGAGACGACCCTAGGACCATTGAGCCCTAATACCAAACATCTACGAGCTTAAGGCCCTGATGCGCAAACATCCACAACCCCTAATGCTGTAAAGCCCTAAGAATTTGAGACCCTGAGACCCTCGGGTCCTAAAGCCCTAAGACCCTACAGCCGTAAGGGCCTAGCGCCCTCAAGCTCGAGCACCCAAATAACCGAATCCGTGAATACCCTCATACCATAGGGCCCCAATATCCTAAGGGCCTTATCGTCTAACAGCCTAAGACCTGAAAGCCCGATGGCCGTAATATCCCAAGGCTCTAAGGACCTAAGACCCCAGGAGCGTAAGATTCCAGTACCAGCATATCCGAATTTCCTAGGACCCTATGGCCCTAACCCAAGACCTGAAGTCCCTAAGATCTTACGCACCTCATGCCCTGATACCCTAAGAGCCCACAGCTCCTGAGGCCCTATGACCCTAAGTCCCCAGGATTCTAAAATCCTGAAGGCCCTAAGAGCGCAAGGCTTTAATACTCTCCAGCCCTAAGACCATAAGACACGAAGGCCCTAAGGCCCTAAGACCCTAAAGCAGTGATGCGCTAAAACCCGAACGCCCTGAGACTCGAAAGGCGCTGGGGCCCTGATGCGCCAGCGCCCTAAGACCTCAACCCCCTCATACCCCCAAACCCTAATGCCCTAATTCCCTAACGCCCAACAGCTGGGATATCTCAAGGCCCTGAGACCGTGAGACCTGAAGGCCCCAATACTTCAAGACTCGGGGAGCTCGAAAACTTCAAGAAATTCGGGCTGCGAAAAACCAAGGCCTAATTAGGACCCGTAAGACGAGCTGAGTCCCGTGAGCGGGGGCGAGGGGCGCTGAACCAGGCCCCAGCCGAACTCGAACCCAGGCGCGGTCGGACCCGTGGGGGGCGGAGATAGCCACCGCAGGGTCCAGCACCGCCCCAGAGTGGCGAGAACCCCGCCGTGCCCATGGCCAGGCACATCCATGCCAGCCCGGCCCAAACCACCGCAGTGACAGCCCCGCTCGGCCGCCCCGGGTCCGAGTTCATCTGGGGGCCAGGTCAGCCATGGCCTAGACCAGCGCGCGTGGAGACAGCCCCGCTCGGCCCTCCCAGATCCGAGTTCATCTGGGGCCCACCTCATCGGGGGCCGAGTTCAGCTGGGGCAGCGCCCGCAGAGACAGCCTATGGTCCGAGCGCATCCGAGGCCCAGTTCAGCCAGGGCCCAGTTCAGCCCCAGAGCGCCCGCAGAAGCTGAACTCGACCCCGTCTGGGGTCGCGCCCGAACGATGAGAGGGGCCCCCCCAGGTCTCAAGTGGGCTGGGCGCGAAATCTGCCGGGTCCAGGCGAGGCTGAGCTGGGCCCCGACCGAAGTCGAACCCGGACGAGCCCAGCGGACCCGACGGAGCGGAGGCGGAGGTCGGCCCTGGTCGGCCGCCCTGGGCGCGAGTTCATCTGGGGCCCGGTTCGGCTGGTGCCCAAATCATCCAGGGCCGGGCCCAGTTCATCCAGGGCCCAATTCAGCGGGGCCCAGCTGAACTGGGGCCCAGGTCAGCTGGGGCCCAGCTCAGCGGGGACCAGTTCAAGCGGGCCCCAGTTCAAGCGGGGCCCAGTTCAAGCGAGGCCCCATTCGGCCGCGTCCCGAAAAGCCACAAATTTTGGGCCCCGGCTGGCTAAAAGTCACCCCGACCGTGTTTGTCACGTAGTCGCAACCAAACGTCGCACGCCGTCGCAAAAGATGGCAACATCATGAAAAATCACAACCGGCACCCTAAACTCCATCTTCTTGCGGTGTTCTCGAGCCAGGTCGATCCGTGAGGGTCCCAGGGCCCGAAGCTGTGCGGAAACGTCCAGTGTGGGACAAAAATGCGGCGCCAAGGCCGTGCACGGCGACAGCAAAATCGAAAACATACCGAACCGGCAACGAAACGAAACCTACCAAAATTGTCAGTCCGTAAGCAGCCTAGAAGGGATCAGCGACGCAACAACGACACAATGATCGACCGCACCGCACCGACCGAACCGCGAATACCGTTGGGCGCCCAGATCTGAGGGAAGAGCACGCCGCCAGCGGCGACGAGGCGGCTGCGCAGAAGCTGGACCAGCGCGAAGCGCCAACCGCCTCGCGCTCGGCGAGGCCAAGACCGTGCGCTCGTCGGTCGGCGCCGCGCCGCGGCAGTGCGGACGGACCGCCAGCGGGAGAGACGGACGGACAGACGCTCACACACGCGGGGCGCGGCCCCTCTAGGAACGGAGCGGTGGCGCCGTGGCGACGAGCATGGGTTGGAAGCAGAACCTGGGAAAAAACCAGCGGGAAGGGCGACCCCTGATGCCCTCCTGGTCGTTTTCAAAATGTGGCTCTTGCCTAAGCGCCGCGCACATTCGTTTTAAACATTGCAAGCGCATCACGGATTGATGGCGGATGGTTTTCAACATGTTGCTCTCGCCCCAGCGCCGCAAATATCTGCAATAGCTTCACGAATTATGGGCGGGTGGTTTTCAACATGTGACTCTCGCCCTAGTGCCGCGCATGTTCGCTACAAAAATATGTTTTGTTGTATAAATAATGAAAACCATAATGCAAGCATTTCGCTGATTGAATGCGGGCCGTTTTCAAAATGCGGCTCTCGACTTAGGGCCGCGCACATGCGTTCTAAGATTTCGCAGAAGTTTCACGGGTTGAAGGCGGGTCGTTTTCAAAATGTGGCTCTCTCCTTAGCGCCGCGCGCATTCGTTGTGAACATTTGCGAGAGCTTCACGGATTGAGGGCGGGTGGTTTTCAAAATGTGGCTCTCGCCTTAGCGCCGCGCGTACTCGTTATTACAAGTTGCAAGAGTTTCACTGATTGAGGGCGGGCCGTTTTTTTAAAGGGGCTCTCGCCGTAGCGCCGCGCGTATTCGTTCTAAAACTTTGCCGGAGCTTCACTGATTGAGGGCGGGCCGTTTTCAAAATGTGGCTCTCGCCTTAGCGCGGCGGCCGTTCCGGGGCTCGCCACCGACCAGGGGGCCCTCAGAACTCGTCCTGGAGAGCCTTCGCGGGGAAGGCCTGCACGATGGTCTTGGCCAGCTTCGCCTTCACTGGGACGACTTTGCCAAATATTTCGCGCTTCCCAGCGTTGGTCGCCTTCTTCTGGCGGGTCTTGATCATGACAGCACTGGGAATGACGAACCTGCCTTTTCTCTTCGCCTCTTGCGTCTGTCTATTTGTCTGTCTGTCTGTCTGTCTGTCTGTCTGTCTGTCTGTCTGTCTGTCTGTCTTTGCTTTTTTGTTTGTCTGAGTGCTGTTATTCTCCGCTGTCTGCTTCTGCTCACTGCTGAGACCTAGTCCTCCTGCTGTTCGCACGACTCGTGCACTCGTCCTTACGGCTAGCACAACTACCAGCATTTGTGTGATCGTTCTCTTCCTCACCCCCCCGAGATTGAGAGCGACCGGGGCGGTGGCAGGCACCGGGCGTCGGCCCCGGCCCCTGCCCCCGCCCGAGGCCGCTCTCAACCTCGAGCGGTCTCCGCTGCCCAGCACCCTCAGGGGCGGTGCCGGGGCCCTCGGCCCCGAACCGCGGCGGGCGAGGGACGGATCCCCGCCGCCGTGCCCGCGCGGCAGGTGGCGTTGCTGGAGTGCCCGTGGGCTGTCTGGCAGGGCTTCTGTACAGTCGGACCCCGGCCAGAAGAACCTCCCTTCAAGAACACGACACCCTCCGCCGGCCAAGACAAGCAGGACATCCAAGGGCACCCTCCAGCAGGCACGAAGAACATGAGGGTAATTACCCTCCCCGAGCCGACCTCGATGTTATACCTCGGTGTCCGACTGTAGGGACCCCCCCTCCCCCCTCATACAGTGGGGGCGTTGTCAGGAAGGTGCCCAGGAGGCTTCAGACCCTGCAGGATTCTTTATCTGATAAGAGCGGCGGTGAAATCCTTGGCCAAGCCTCGATTGGTGTTCCACCGGCTTCCAGACCCTGGGTTCCTTATCTGAGGGTTCCTCAGCAAACGCCCTCGCCGTAGCACTGTGCTAGGCGCACCCCCCCCCCGCCCCCCGTACCCACGCAACCGACCGTGGCACGGCGGCGGATCTGCCAGAGGCAGCCAGATATTGTAATCTCCGCCGTCAGGGACGCCTGTCTGAGGGCGGCTGGAACGTTTGTGCCCCTCCGGTGGCACGTCGGCGTGCAAACTTCTCAGCCGCCCCGAAGCAGGTGTCCCCACTGGCGGGACATTTTAGGTCACACCGTTCTTCGTCTGCGAATGCGGGCCCGCACCCTCGCTGCCGCCCGCCGCGCCGAGACGGCAGGGGCCTGCCTCGTGAAGGCCCCCGCCTCCGTAGGACATGTGCTCCCTTGAGTGCAGCGCGTGCCCTCGTGCTGTCCGTCGGCCGCTGACAGGGGCTTCTAGGATCGGGGCTCGCGGACAGCTCCGCCGCCTTGTTCTTGAGGGAGGTCGCTTTCTCTTGTGTCTTCCGCGCCTCACCTTTGCATCGTGGGGGAAGCGGGAAGCGAACTCTTTCCCAAGCGGTGCTCGCACTGGATGCTGCTGTATCTTCTGAGGTAGCAGAACTGCGCGTGGTTGTGGGGAATTCCCTTTCGGCTGTGCTCCCTGGTTGCCGACGATTTCATTGGTTCAGCATTGTCCAAGGCTGTGCCCGGCTCGGTGCTGCGTCGTGGCAGTCGAAAAAGAAATCCTTGGTTGTGCCCTGTTCCCTGCTTGGTCTTGCACCCTGACTGCTGAGAATATATTTGGTTCTGCCCTGCTTCACGCCGTCTCCATGATGGCTGTCTTCAGTCGAACTGTCAGTGGTCAGTGCGCCAGTCGGCTGGCTGATCTTTCAGGATCGGGATGAAGGAACGAGAGGGGGAGAACAACGACATGCATACACTCATTCACTCACTGGAACTGGCATGGACGCAACGACAGCGCATGGCAACAGACGAAGGCGACAAACACCACTCTGAATCTGTGAACGAAACAGTCGACGCAGCATGCAGAACGAGCGCAACAGGATCGAGAGGACAACCACGGAGGGCACCCCGATGCACCTTCGCAGCCGCCCCACCAGCACGTGCTGACATTGCCCAAGAAGACAATGTCGCTGAGCACAAGCAGACAGCCCTGGCTGAATTTCAAGGAAACCACTTCGCGCTGAGCAGCTGCTGCTTCGTGCCCCCCACCCCTCCGAGCCACCGTGCGCTTACAGGCCGAGGCGGCCGCTTCCAGGGCCTCGGCGACAGAGGCGGTGATGCCGTCTTGACGGCGCGCGCGAAGGGGTGGCGCAAGGGGGGGGGAGGGGGGAGGGGGGAGGGGGGAGGGGGGGAGGGGGGAGGGGGGAGGGGGGAGGGGGGGGGAAGGAGGAGGGAGGGTGGAGGAGGAGGGTGGGCGGCCTTCTGAGAGGGCGGGGGGCTTCTTAGAATAGAAGAAGAAACATGAACGCATAACATGCCATATTTTGACGCTTCGTCTTCTTCGATTGGAGGCAATGGCCTTGGTATAACCTTCGGTCGGTCATGTTCTCCTACAGGCGGATTTCAGACGAGAGATATTACACAGTCAAAACATATTCCACACTGGTAAAATAGTCAGGACATCGTCCCCGAACTATTTTTTGGTCTATTTTGAATTTCCTCTTGTAGAGGGACAAGCCCGGCTTACGTATAACCGCTCCCGGCTTCCAAGACGGCTCTCTGAAAAGCTCGCGGGCCCCTCTGAGAAGGCCCCCGCCTTCCAGGAAGCCCACCCGCCTGACTATCGTTTATCCGATCCCCATCCCCAGCGGCGTGGCCTGGGCCCCGCTGGCCGATTCACCCCCCTAGACGGGGATACAGGCCGTTCCCTTCGGGTCTCGAGGGGTGCATCCCCAACCGGGGTGGTAACTTGGTGTGGGTCTCGAAGAGGATGGGGATGGGGATGGGATTGGTTCAACGGTACCGAGAGAAGGCCCCCGCCTTCCAGGAAGCCCACCCGCCGCCTCCGAGAAAACCGCCGGAGGAGGAGGATGAGGAGGAGGAGGAGGATGAGGATGAGGAGGAGGAGGAGGGGC